TATAGAAGATTTATATAAAGTTTATGTTTTCATTTCAAAACGCCGTCGCAAGTTTATGACGTCTTAGGGAAATTGAATATATCATTCTCGTCGAACTTCATCTTTAGCGAATAAACTATTTAATCGTTCGATTATTTCAAACGATAAACATGGAGCAAATTTCGTAATAAATAAATAAATACCACCGTTTTATTCTTACATTCCGAACACGCTATTCGCTTTAACTTTCATATTTTTATTACACCTTTTTTTTTAAAGCATTTGCTGACCAATGCTTATATAACGCTCTTTCCTTATTTTTTCTTTTTTTTTTTTTTTACAGCAAATAGAACATATCGTCGAATCGTTGGATCGTTCAATCCGGAGACACCCTGTACATGGAATTTTTTTATCAAAATATAATAAGGCATCTTTTTTTATTTATACTTTTCTGTACGTGAAAAATGTATACCGTTGAAAAATATTTACATAGGATAGGATGGAACATGTGAAAAATTTGCAACATCCGTGGTGAGTCACGCATCAGATGGGATCGTCAGCCCCCATCCGAACCTCTCCTCCGTACGAGCTATAATTACGAAGTTTAATTGACTAACGAGCGCAGACGAGGATCGGCGAAGCAGTGCAGAAATGGAGCTCTGATTGGTCCATTCACTAAGCCCAACTTGGTTCATTCACGTTGCAATTAATTCGAAAGCGCCTAGCCACGGGGGGAGCTCCTCGTAGAAACTTTTCTTCTCGTAACGGGGGGAGGAGAGAAAAAACGTTCTCGACAATGTTCGTCGATGGTCGGCAGTTACACGATCGAATTTGTAAATCGAATCGAAACTTAAGAGAGAAATTTAAGAGAAAATCCTTTTGTTGCTAAAAAAAAAAAAAACGCGACCGCTTGCGCTCGTCGAATGCAATTTTCTGGTATTCGGTGGGATATGAGAACGGTGAATCAGCGGTGCGATAAAGGAAATAATCGTAGATCGATGAACGAAAATTCATCGAAATTTTTGTCAGGCTTGCGTAGAGTTTCCCTTGGGAATGGAACGCGTATGAAATTTGAAAAAAAAAAAAAGTAATAATAATAATAAAAAAAATTCTCTTCATCGAATTTCCTGATATCCAATGGCATATGATAACATTGATTCGCGCGATGATAAAATGGATCATCGCGTGAAAACATCTGTTGAACGGGAATTTATCGATGAAATTCGAAAGAATTTTTCTTTTTTTTTTTTTTTATTAGAATGGTAGAAAATTTTCTCTTCGAAGCATAGAAAATTCGAGCAAATTGACAAAAAAAATTGTCGTTCTCTTTTTGCTCTTCTCTGCAATTCTCTCTAGCATTCAATGGCCACGCGATAACGACGAATCAACATTGATTCACGCGATAATTTACTTTATCGCGTGAAAAAGGTCGTTGAACGGGAACCCAAACTCAGGTGGAATGTTTTTCATTCGTTTCCCACGGAACAACGAACACGCGTGAAAATATGAATAATAAACACACTATTCTCGTTCGGCATTTTTATTCGGTGGCAACAGCGAATCGACATTTGTCCGCGCGATAAAGCGATGGCTGAAACCGATCGGCCAAATTCAGTGGAATCTTCTCAGGCTTGGTTTCCCTCGGCAACACATGTGAAATCGGGATAGCAGGCATGGGAACCCACGAAATGCAGATCCGCCTTCGCACATGCCTCGATGCACGCACGTATGTGCGCCGTACACCGAATTAACGACGACCTAATTGACCGTCGCTAATTCCCTCGTCCTCTCCCCTTGTTGCTCGCGTCCAATCCTCGAGTTTCACCACGTACATCTAGTTAACGCCAACCAGCGTCTCTCAAACTTTCCTCCGTCGCTCTATTTCGCGTTTTCCGCTCGACTCGACGAGATTCGATTCCACCGACAAGTTCATTCAACGAACTTCTTCCCCGTCTACTTTTCTCCAGCGATAACTATCTATCTATCTATCTTCTTCTTTCTTACGGCTGCGATCGTACGAGCGGATCGATCGAACCGAACGAGTGTGCTCTCGAAAAACGACTCGAATTTTATTCTCTACTCGATGGCTTTACCCGCTTTTACTCTAGATCCCTGTCATTAGCTCGAATTTCTTTCCACGAGAACGTGTGGAGCAATGACACAACACGCTAATACCGCGTGCACGCTCGCACGAATATAATCGAGCGATAAAGTTGTAGCGTCGTTACCGACCGCGTTATGGCCGTTTCACATCTACGTTACCGTACTTTCCACGTTATCGTCTCTCACATGTATCACGTTTGCCGTAATGGCAATATCGGGGAAAGTAATTTTGAATAATTTAAATCTGTATTGTAAGATCGAAGGTTGAAGAAAAAAGGTTCGTAAATTTTTAGTTTTATTCAATTGTTGTGACGTCGTTACCGATCGCATTATGGCCGTTTCACACCTACGTCTCTCACGCTTGACGTGATTGTAATATCGGGGAAAGTAATTTTGAATAATTTAAATCTGTATCGTAAGTTCGAGAAAAACGGTTCGTAAATTTTTCAATCGTTACGCACGATGCAAGGGGAAAGGAAGTAACCTGTGACGTGATCATCGAATTGCGTGAAAAATCTCACGATTCGATCGGTTTTGATTTCCTGTTGGACAGGAAATTAACGACAAATCGTGGCTCGTAACGGGTGAATAGCTTTAAATCCGTTAGACAATCGGGAAGTAATTATGGATTTGCGCTGCGTCGACCCAATTAAACCCATCCCGAATTAAATGCGTTTTCAATTCGCGATCCGTCCTATTGATACCCGCCAATAGGATTCACAGCGCAGAAAAAGCGATTCTTTCCGAAATACGTAACGCGAAATTATGATTTTGCGCGTCCGTTGGAAATCGTTGGGATGGAAAATCGTGCACATCCACACGGCGGACACAGCGACATGGCCGTGCTTTCGTTACGTATCCGGTAACAGGGCTGCCAACCGCGTTATTCGAATTTAATAGCTGCCGCAAGATCCAACCTCGACACGAGTCTGGTAAAATTTAATATTCGACCGATGGGGGCGTCCGCAAACGAACGACGCGACGCGGCCAATCCGTGGCCGAGCGTGTACGACACGTATACGACACGATTACCTCTAACGCATCCAACATTTATCGCGCCGTGTTTCATCGTGATTTGCGGAAATTTCGCTTCGATTATTAATCGCCTGTGAGCCGAAACGAATAGGATCCTCTCGTTGGGACGATTAATCGTGCAAGAGCTCGAGGAAAGAAGGAAAAAAGAAAAGGAAAAAAAAGAAGAAAGAAGAAGAAGAAGATGAAAAAGAAAGAAAAGGAAGAAAAGTTCTGGGAGCACCGTTTGCGTCAAGCGATAAAGTTGCTCGTTCGAGAGTCCTCCTCATCGAAGGAGCCCCGTACATTTGGTCCATCTTTTTGCGAGCCGCCCCTTCTTCCCTGGTCACCCTTGACGTCAATCTCGTTCCCATAAACGGAACACACATGTGCCGGACGCGGCATTGGCTCCGCCTCGCGATTTTCAACGGCCGATCAAAATTCCACGACGACGACCTACTTCTATTTCTCGATCAATGCCGTTTCCACCGCACGCCTCCGCACGATCTCGTTTAATCGATCGCTCGATCCTCCACCAGTTTTCCGTTTCAATCGAGCCAGATAAGCGGAGGAGATAAGTGGCACGCGTCTCGTTACGTGGCGGAGGATAGGCTCGTCGATCCGAAAATATTTAATTTGGCCGGTTAAAAGGAGGTGGTTTCCGGAATATTTAGCAGAATTTCTTCGACTCCCGGGTAATTTGACTCTTCTCATCGTTCGGGGGGATGGAAATTACGGACGGTCGGTTAAATCCGAGCTAACTGAATTCCTTGATAAATTCCAAAGCCGTCCAAAGGGGAAACTTTGTCGGACGAAGAAACGCGAGTTATTCGCGCGAGCAAGTTCCTTGCCTGCAACGGATATAAACGCCTTGATGTTTTTTTTTTTTCCCATCGCTAAAATACGAATTTTATCCATAATAATAAAAGGGAGAGATTCTTCGCGTTTCTTTCCCCCCCCAGAATGTGTGCGCATGGAATTTTTTCTCTCGAATAAAAGTGAGAATGATAATTACATTTTTTTCTTTACGTTCGATGCCCACCTATGCTCAGCCGTGGCCCACGCTGTGGCCAAGCCAAGCCCTCTCCTCTCCTATTTCGAACGCACACCCTCGTCCTGAACGAACTTTTTTTTTTTTTTTCTTCGCCAGAACACTCGACAGAAGATAACTGGAACCAGACGAATGCGGAGTGCAAGCCAGCTCGATCAAGGCCGAATAACGTACTTGGCGGGCGAAACGCGCTTCCCCTAATCGATGCTTGGCGAGAGTATTTTTAGTCCGCGTATTCGGGATTCGAGGTTCCTTTTAAAGGGAACGATAATCTGCCGCTCGATGATCAAAAGTTGATCAAAACAGAAGTTTGTGGGGTTAAAGACCTTTTTTTTCCGACTTTCTTCAATCCCTTCCCTTTAATTGTGGTGCAGTCTCGATTACCATAGAAGAGTTTCTTGATCGAAAGTCGTGTGTGACGTTGCAAAGAGTCAATTGAATATATATTTTACTTCTATTATTTCTCGATAAATTCAAACTTGCTTGCTCACCGTTCAGAATTATAGAAACGGATTGGAAACGATCCTTGCAGAGAAATCTGCTTATCGTCTACTTCAATTTGAAACCACTTTATCCTGCTTTCTCTCGAGAAATTATCGAGAGTGTGTGTGTGTGTGTGTGTGCAAGCATAACGTTTCTTTCGCATCTTCGCGAACGAATCTTCTTTCGAATATTAAAAATGGCGCGAAAACGGAAGAAAACTTGGTTAATTTCCTCGTTTCAATCGATGTCAATTGCGATGCGTTGGATCGATTTTCCCTCGAAACTGGCCCACCACTACAGCTAGAATATGCGAACAAAGGGGGAGAAGAGACGATTTCTCTAACGATTTCCACCGATTTCGACTCTGTTGCAGGACCGTCCCCAGATTTCAGCAGGCACACGTTGGTCAGACCGCGGGTCTATCACGGCAGGACTAGGCGGCAGATCTCCTCGACTAAGGAGAACGTAAGTACGATATTGTTTTCGAGGAAGGAAATTTTATTTTATTCGCGCCAACACATTCGTGCACCTTTGTAAATTAGAAACGTCTATGATGCAAAACAAGTAATTCACAATCGATTCGTTGAAAATGTATATAACATTTATTCCTACCCGATTCATCCTTTTCGTATATTTATAATTATTTTCGATTATTACCTCGAATGATAAATTGTTAAAATAACTTGTGGATGTGATAAGTGTTACATCCTATCCTATCCTGTAATATCTGAACAACTATTTTTACGATTAAGCAAGTAGTAACGGAAAATAGATGCGCAGTCTCGTGTATAATAACAATTTTGTCGAAAACTTTTCTCATATAAAAAGAAGAAAAAGGGCAATTATTATACAAGTTTCTAATATCGTTCACGACAAATATTATTTAACATTTTTAATAAATCCTCTCCCCTCATCTATATATCCGCTATAATTTTACGTCCATAAAAAAAAACTAACTGCTCGTCTCCTTTCTGCAACGTGTCCTTCCTTTGTCACGATCGGAAGGGGCACGGATACGATTTTGCCGACCGGATAGATATCCTATTTTTTTACGACTCTATTTGTAAAGAGCGAGGAGCGTAAAGGTTTCCTCCAGCGCTCGTACGACTTTCACCGTCGTAAAGGAAAAAGAAAAACTTAATCACCGTGGACGAATATCGCGAGAAAGATGGCGGCGCGATTAACGGGCGCGATTTTCTGGAAAAATTTTCGGATTCGTGACACGGAGCGATCGTCGACGGTGCAACAATTTCGATGCAAATGCCGGGACGCGGCGTGAATCCAGGATCGAGCTCCTACCTGTCGAGGGGGAAATTGCGTCGAGGATGTCTCCTCGAACGAGTTTCGTGCCGTTATTTTCGATGAACGAAACTAGGCGGGAGAAAAAGAATATCGTTTTTCGTTTTATTGTTATCTGACGAAGTTTCTTTGTCGATTATTCGTTTTTCGCTCGACAACTCGGGATTCCTCGCAGTCAATTTCGTAGGTAATTTTTAACCCTTTGCGCTCGTATTTATATTTAACCCCTTCCTGTATCATTACGACTCGTAGAATTAATTTTTTCAATCGAGATTTAGTTCTTACCACGATTCTTATAATCTACGTTGCAAAATGCTCTATCGTTTGAGCCCAGATTTTGTCTAGCTAATTTGTATAGTGGAAAGGGTTAAGAAGGTTATGAAGGTTGGGTAACAAGAGCCGTTAGAATGTAATTGCGTAAATATATGGATAATAATAGAATGTAGAATGGCGAGTGGTTAAAATGAATTCACACACAAATTAACGTATAAAACTTTTATATTTTATCTTTATATATATAGAGAGAGAGAAAGAGAATTTATCGGTTATTAAAGTTTATATCGTTGTTTTGCGCGATATTTTAATAATAAAGTAATTACCAAGATGGATTCTCGGTTTGTCAAGGCAATTATCGCGATAAAATGTCATTTCATGTCTTTCACCTTTCTTAGAGCAAACCTTGCATTCACCGTCGTCCATCATTCTTATACTACATCTTCATTTTTCCCCCCTCCGTATTCTTAATTAATAGGAAGAGAAATGATTTCGTTATTGAGTAACGAAAAATCAAGTCATCTTAGCTATTGGAAATTTAATTCATTCATTACAAAATACTCGAAAATAATATATCGCCACGATTCGCATTTTGGAATAAAAATCTATTCCGCGCTTCGTTTTAAGATTAAAGAGATTCCATTCGTGATGTTTTAAAAAAATCAAGCACACGAATAAATATCGTCGCCGTTCGAAGCGCAAAAATAATAGAAGAAAACTGGGTGCGCGAAGAATTGGGGGGAAAGAGAGGGGGGTGGATCGAGACGCGCGAGAATCGGTCGAAGGTAAACACGACGGTTTGGTAGAAGCGAGGAGAGGAAAATTTGACCGATGTTGGAGGGAGGAGTTGCAAGTTGGATACGTGTTACCCTTGCCGCCAGTTTGGAAACATTAGCGTGGATAGGCGGGGCAAATAAATAGCGCGGCACTCGTCACGTGATTGTTGCCCGATTCCGTTTAGACTCTGCCTGAGAAATTATGGAAATTTATAGAAAGATTCTGCTCGAATATAATGGAAAAATCGATTATTCGAGGAAATAATTGCGCGTTCGTATCTTATCGAAATTTGGATTTGGACAAAAATGTGGAAAATAAAATCGATGTTCTCGACTCTTATATTGACATCGAAGAGTTTCGTAATAATTGCGAGTTCATTCATCAATTGCAAAGATCCTTTCGAATGAATTCCATTTATTCCGATTCTCTCTGCGTCTTGAAAATTTATAGAAATTTATAGAAAGTAATTCTGTTCCACTGTACAGTGGAAAATCGATTATTCGAGATTTATCTACCAATTAGTTCGAAATAATCGTCGTTATTATATCGTATCGAATTTTACAAAAAAGTGGAAAATGAAAATCGACGATATAACACGAACGATTGGGGTCGAAGAGTTTCGTAATAATTGCGAGTTCATTCGTAATTGCAAAGATCCTTTCCAATGAATTCCATTTATTCCCACTCCCTCTCTCTCTCTCTCTGCGTCCTGAAAATTTATAGAAACTATCGATTCAAACATAGTGGAAAATTATTCGAGATTTATCTACCAATTGGCTCGAAGTAATCGTCATTGCGTATTATATCTTATCGAAATTTACAAAAAATTGGAAAATCGACGTTATACGAACAACTGGGGTCAAAGAGTTTCGTAATAATTGCGAGTTCGTTCGCGAAATGGCAAAGATCCGTTCGAACGAATCGATGATGCATTTGTTAATAGCGGGCGAGGAAGAAAAGTGGGCGAGAAACGAGCGCAAAAGCGTTCGGTTTCGTTGCTTAATGTCCCTAAAGCAACGATGATCTCGTGGCGTCAACCAAGTAAGCCAATTGACCTCGTTTCTCGTTATCACGGGGAAGAATGAATGCTATCAGCGCGTCTGTCTATGTCGGCGACGAATCTAATTTCCTGCCCGCTTGCTCCACACTTGCAAGTAGTCGTACTCGTAAAGAGTACTTCGTCCCAACGTTTTCCAATAATAATATTCCCAAGGAAAGTTTCTTTCCCCCGTGAGACGCGTAAGATTAATTGGCAATAGTTTGTCGGTTATGTAGTTCATCGTTCGTCGAGAAATCTGCCGGTCACTTTTATCCTAATTTCACCGGTAACACAGTTTCCTTTTACGATAGTCGATAATAAAACTCGCGGTGATTGATGATGGCATCTCGAGAAAGAGAGAAAGAGAGAGACGGTTTTAACGAGTCGTTTCCGAACGAGAGAGAGAGAAAAAAAATGAGAGAAGATAGTTAACGAAGCATCCCCCCCCTCTCTCGAGGAAAAACAAAGTAAATCGCGAATCGTGACTAAAAAGTCGATCGAGGAAAAGATGCTCTCCGGTTAACTTCCTGCAAGGTGTGTTGGTTTATCGGACTTTGAACCACGATCTCGTCGTCCATATAACAAAGAGAAAAAGGGAGGGAAGGTAAAGGAAGATGTTGCATATTCTCTTTATTCGAGATAGGGAAATTCTTCTAGGGAAATTCTATACCTCCTTTGTCGCGCAACATTACGCGCAACAAAGTTTACATATTTACATTCTGAAAGCAAGCGTGCATCTTCGGTCAATCCACGCGAATATACAGATGTACAGTGTATAAAATCGAGTTTATCGATGCGCGTGTATTCGTTCAACTCTCTATCTACGCGGTTATATCCGCGTAGATTTCAAGCGTCGTCGAACAAACTGTCGAGAATCTCTCTCTCTCTCTCTTTCATGCGGTCCACTGTTTGTCGTTGCACGCCGCCACTGTCGCCACCGTCGCGGAGAGGAAGAGGTTCGCCCGCGGGCGGATCTGACAGAGGCCGTGTTGAACAGCGTTTGGAAACCGCGATAAAGGAGAAACTGCAAGGCAAGCCGAGTGAAAAACCCGCAGAAACGGTTTTCAACGCGGGTAACAATGCGAGTTTCCTCCGCCAGATTACGTTAATCGTTACGCGGCGGCCCCTTCACGCCGCTATCACAGGCCTGTCTAGGATCCGGAAACGGATGCAGTTCCTTCTTCTCCTCCTCCACCTTCTTCTTCTTCTCCGAGCCGTGCACGCCCGAGATTAAAAGATGCCTTTCATCCTACAAAGGGCCCCTCTGTTACGTTACGTACATTGTGCTCTCTCGCCACGAGCTCGTTAACCGCACCAATTTCCAAGAAACCCCGCCACCTCGAATAATTAACGCGTCTCTCGCGTGGTTTATCGCCGTAACAATTATATACCATACAACTTGCTTCTCTCCTTTAACCGATTACTTTTTTCCCTCGAATCCGAACGAGAATCAATGGACGTGGCGAGAATTTGTGGTTGCAGTTTGCGATTGCAAAGGGTTTGTTTGCCTCGAAATTAACGCGATGGAACGAAAAATGCGTAAACAAACGACATATCCCGATCGTGAATCAAATCGGTGCGATATTTCTTTTCCCTCGATCGGTTTTTAAACATCGCAATTTCGAATTTCCTTTCCACGACGAAAGGAGCCATCGACCGATTAAAATTGCATAAATTCATTCACGGGTCATTAGCGTATTTAAATGACTAGGCGCTGCGAATTATTATTGCGTTTATCATCATTGCACCGGCCGACTCTATTGTCTCGAAATTTAAATATTTATTCAAATCGCTTCCAACCAAACTTTAACACTCGTATGTCGCCATCCTACGTTTCATTATTACACGTATATTTGTAAAATAAATAATTGCATATAATTATATAATTACGTTCTCTTGTTACCTTAATTGATAACCTTCTCAAATATAAATTGATTTTCTTGATGAAAAATTATCAAGGTTACGGTTACGGCCAGTTAAAGTCACTTCGGGGATCGAAACGAGCAATCCCCGAATTCGAGGTAGAATCGTTGGAAACAATGGAACAAACGACTCGGCGGTAGAAATGGTAGAAAAAAGGATCGAAGACGTTGTTTCTCGTCCCCTTCGAGACGAGAATCAAGGACAGCGCGAGGGAGGGGTACATTTCGTGGAAGCCGAGCTTCCACGACAATAGTTCGCTGGGCGTGGTGAACGAGACACGAGGACGACTTTTACGAGGGCTTCCTCCATCTCCATTTAACGAGCTTTCGCCATTCCTCCCCGGGGAGAGATTTTTCTCTCTCTCTCTCTCTCTCTCTTCTTTTATCCTCGAACGATATCGCGCTAACCGAATTTCACGAGTAAATCAAGACCGATTGTTACTCACCACCTGGGACGCGAGCGAGAATCGTTAGATTCGTCCTGCTGGTTGAAAAAGGACGAGAGACAGCGTGGAGGAGAAGCCACGACCCTTTGGCACATTAGTTTCTCGATATCGACGGGTCATGGCGATGGGGCAATTGGAATATCGAGGAACGTTTGCCGGATTGGCAGCCTGCCAGCTATGGGTATTGCTAACTGTCCAACTACGATGATAGAATCCGCACGATGGAAGAATTCCGTGGATCCATCTATCGTCGATCCAGGCTGCATCCATCTGTCGTGGCTGGAATATCCGATACCGTGGCCCGACCTGGGAAATGGTTTAGTGCGCCAAGTAGTGGGACACGCAACGAATATAGGGACTCCTGTTTCTTCTCGTAGGATTTATTTTCGTAGAGAAAATTTCCTCCTCCTCCTCCCTATTCCGGAGGCGAGAGAATTTGATCTTTCTTCGTTCAGCATATTCTCCGTGGGTTGCATACACACGTTGAACTTTCTATTCGACGTCATTTCAAATTTTCCCTCCCTGAAAAGGAAAGGAGATTCGAGGAGATTTATTAAAATTATATTCTACATCTTTTTTTACATTTTAAATGCACGGGACATTTGTGTGTTGTGTGTGCTTTCGAAAGGAATTCATACGATGCGTAAACGGAACGTTACGAGAGACCGTGGCCCAACGTGGAAAGTGACAGTGTTTCGAGAGAGAAGACGTCCCTTGGAAGGTAGTAGTGGTAGCCGATCGATATTTCCTGTTCGGAGAAAAACGAACGGTTGGGCCGGAACGTATCTCTTATGAATTAAACATAGGTTCCAAGCGAGGGTGCAACCAAGATTCGTAAATTCATTTGGGTTTCAACTGGCACGCGCGCGTACGCTCGTGAAAGAAAAGAAAAAAAAAAAACCGAGCACTCTCTGTCCCGTCCACTTGACTTTGAGCCCGGTGACTGGAGAGAATATAAATTTTTAATCGGTCGACTTTCCGGTTGGTGTTCGAGAACCGATGCTATAACGCGAAAAAAAAAAATAAAACGAGATCAGAAAATTCGGCATTTTCCGCTTGAATAAATTCGATCAGTAAGCTGTTATTTCAAAATAACAATTACTTAAAGAAATTGATACTGTAATTTATTCATCCCGATTTATCGCTTTACGTGTAAACAAAAAATCGATAACAGTGTAGTTATTGTAAAAAAAAAAAAAAAAAATAAAGGTTGGAAAGCGAACTAGAGCGCAAAACCATGGAACCGTATCCGTTGAATCACGGAGAAAGTATTTCTCGCCTAGGTAAACTGGCCAACGATCGAAGCTAATTGACTCACTTTTCCGAAGGATTCGATTTCCACGCGATCTCGACGTGTTTCTTTTATCTCGATAGAACTCTGGAGCGGCGTCGTGGCGCAACAGGTGCATAATGCCGGGTTTCCAAACGATTATAACGCATTCGAACACTGATTCGAACAAGTCTTATCGGCCGCTTGCGCGGAAACGCGCACTTACGCGATACGAAAACTCATGTTTCTGCGCAACATCCTCAACTTATGCTGCTTTTGTTCTCAGGATGTGGAACACGCGGACGTGTTAGTGATAGGCTTCGAGCTTGATGGAGTGAAACGCACCTTGGACTTGAGATTAAATTCTGATCTGATTCCTGTTGGTTACTATCAACAACGTCATCAGCATCAAGGCACGTACAAAGTGCACACTCCGTCGAAAGTCGTAAGTAATCTTTTTTTTTAATTATTATATAATATCGTGATCTCGATCATCGGAATCATTCAAAAGTATCATTTGCAAATAATATTCGTTGAAAAATACATTGCACGTTGTTCGTTGTTCGCAAAAATGCCGACGAATATAGAGTTTATAAACACGAACGAACTGTTCGTGAACAGTAATGTAAACCTAACCTATATATTCAGCAGCGAATAATTCACGAACGATTATTTCCAAACGATATTCAATTTCTCTGATCACAGAGTTTGTAAATATTAACGAACACTATTGTGAAACGAACATATCGCAAATTATAAAATCACAATTCGACACTATCGACACCATTCGAACATCGTTTGCAAAACGCTCACAGTGTGAATCTAGCCTAACGTAAACAATTAGACGATACGTGGAATCGAATCAAAAGGCTCAAAGAATAAATTAAGAACAATGTATGCGTGCATTTCATTTTCGGACGACGTCGAAATCGAAACGAAATCGTACTATACACTATTAATCGTACTATACAGGTGCAAAGAATGCTAGAATCGATAACGATGACTCACTGTCCGACCGTGCAGGACGCGTTAGTATAAACGGACATGAACGTTTCGAGAGTATCGATCACTCGCAAATAAAACATAGAGAGTATCGCGTAGGTACATAACCACACTCGAATATTGATCACGCTTTACTCTCGCTGTAATCACTTTTCACGACGATACGCTGTTTTTTTTTTTAAGAAAATTGTTAAAAAAATAATTTTAAATCAACTTTGAGTCATAAACACTGGATTTTTGTGTCAATTTTTTACGTTTTCTGTTTCTGGATAAAGTTTTCCTCGAGTGCTACATACTCTAGTTTTACGAGTAAATTAAATTTTTACTCACCACGTGAATTACACGAGAAAAGTAACGAGACCTCGATGCAATATACGACTAGAGGAAAGAAAGAAGAATGACTATCGACGTTTTTTAACGATTCGATCTTCAGCATCGATATATAAATTTTAAGTACGTATTATTTACGATTAATGGACATGAGTTGGACACGTTTCGTCACCGAGTTCGTTGCGCCCTGTTTTTCACATTTTGCGTAATTGAATAAATGAATTGATACGTCCACTCGTCTCTCTCTCTCTCTC